TTACCATATATATTTTTGAAAGCATTCTTTCTTTACAGCATTTTTTCACACCTGCCTAAAACTTTTGCACAGTACTGTATATATACACATACACATACAGAGAGAGAGATGTACTATCTAAAGGAACCTTCTTGCCTCCAGCAAGCGAGCGATGCCTTTGTGATGCAGAGACTCCCTGTAGGAGTTCATTGACTGATCATCTGTGTAATCCCAGAACCCACCTCCTTCAGCATTCACCATCCCTCCTGGATTGGACAAGCAACTGAGTTACAGTGTTGGTTGGCAGAAGCTAAGGAAATAGTGAAAGGCACATGCTGGCCAGACCTATTAGGTCATAAACAATATGGCTTCTTGCCCAAAATCTTAGCTATATAATGGTTAGTCTTTTACATAAGCACAAAGCCTATATGTGTAGCTGCACAAATGACTACTTTAAACATCACAGTTATAAGAAAAATTTTTTTCATGAACCTTAGAAAGACCACTGTGGTTATTATTTTTTAATTACAATTTGGATAGTTTTTTCATCTCAGCTTGCAAAAATTGAAAAAAACAATTTCAAAGTCAATGAAAAAATGTGAACTATAATTATTATTATTTTTTTATACAGTGACCCTTTTATCATTTTTTCTGGTGGACTTTCTTATGATAAACCTTGGCGAAGGCCAAGTCTGACAATCATGCATGGAAAAGCAATTACAGTGCTTGAAATGGATCACCCCGTGGTCGACTTTTTAACTCTTTGTGAAACTCCATATCCAAATGGTAAGTGTGTGTAACAAGTTTAAACAATAAAGTAATAAAGAATAATAATTGCATTGCATGACATTGTCCATGGAAAAAATCCATAATCCATCTTTTATTAGGCCAACTGAAAGTTTGTAACAGTTTCAAGCTTCCAGTTTTTTAAAAGACTTCATGAGGTGGGATGTTTAAAAGTGAGGAAAGAAAACAATGGAGCAGGGAGGGCTGATTAAGGGTTCTAAAAAGTGGAAAAGCTGGCAATAGTTGTACAAATTCAGTTGAGCTAATGAAGGAATTGCCTCTGTGGATTTTGGATTTACTACAATTTTAAGAACTACTCTGACAGCAGCGTATGCAGTTATGGTCACAGTAGAACAGAGTAACCTAAGTAGTATGATAAATCTATCATTTAACTTTTTGCAGTCTTTTTAGCATTTTGCAGACTCTATTCTGTGTAAGGGGATTATCATGACTATTCCATAAGAATATGCAGACATCTAAATATATTGAAAAATTAAGCATTACTCAATATACTTGTGTATATTGGGACTGATATACAGGTGTATACACATGCACACACTCGGCAGCATACTTGTCATAAAAATGTATCAGCTGGACTCATTGTGACTAAAGGGAATATTGTAATAGTCTTTCCATAAGGTTTTGCTAGGTTACATGGGAAATATTTATGTAGAAGCATTATCCCATTTAATGTCACATAGATACTGCATGTTTATTGGAACAATATTTATGCTTAATCTAACATAAGGAGACCTTAAACTTACTATCAAAATAGCATGAATATCTCTGTCAGTGTTCCAGGTAAATATAACAATCATTATCAGAACTGAAGCTTCTGGATTTGGAAAATTCTTAATCAGGATTATCTTTGAATAATTGTATTGTTCAGAACAATAGTTGTATGGTTCTTATTTAATAATCTAATTTGCTAATATTTGTGTTTATTTGGATGTAGAAATTCAAGAGCCCTATGCTGTTGTTGTACTACTGGAAAAAGATCTAATTGTTGTTGATCTGACTCAAAGCCAGTAAGTATAATTCCATATGATGCTAACACTAATTCCTGGGAGATAAGGGTAGATTTGTTTGTTGAGTTTGGAAATATAAAATAATATGACCAAACCAAAGCCAAAATGTCTTCAAAACAAACAACTTCACTATTCACTGCTACTATTTAAAATATCTTTAGCTGTCTGTTTTTGTTTGACATATTCTTCCAAAATTATGGAATCTAGTAAAGATGATCTAATAAAGATTATAGCTTTAAAAAATTAATATGGTGATTCATCTGTTAATGCTTGCAGCTTGTGTGTGGCTCTCCTTTCCCCCATTTTTCTGTGTTCACTGATTTTAATCACCATGCCTTATTTTTAAGAAAGCTATTTCAGAATCATTTGCTTCATAGATTCACTAACAGAATCAGTGATCAATTTGCCTAAAGCAGGTGGTTTGCAAAGCAAAACAATCAACAATGCCCTCCTTCATATTTTGTGTATGCCCTTAGTGGCTGTAGACTAACACAAGATCAGAGAGGCAAGAAAAGAAAATTACCTACATTGTGCTGTATCCAAATTCAATCAAAGACAAATTACTTTTTTCCTTTTCTTCTATGATGACTTTGTGACAAGGTTAAGAGTTTCATAATTTTTTTAGGGGAGATAGTTAAGTGCACCAAGCAAGCATAAATATTCTAGAGAAAGCCTTTATAGCAACGCCTTGTTCATAAATGTGATGGGAGGGAGGGTTATTGGTAGCCCTCCCACATCTTCCTATTGCTGCTTATACAGGTTTCTTAGTACAAAGGAACGAAAATGGAATCAATGCACAATGCCATTTGATTAGTCCATCTAATCAAAGAGCTAATCAAACATGGAAAGAAATGGTTAATCAGCTGGGGTGCCTTCTTGCTCTCTTTGCTTCACTGATTATTTATCTTTTATTGTTCCTTTGCAATACATGAAGTAGCTCATAGTTGTGTTTTTATTAGACTCCATTATGGCTGAGGATATTTAGAAATGCTATCCATTAAAAGCAACCCATCTTTTTCCAGACTTCCATGTGAGCCTGTAAAAAAAAAAATTATGTCTGTTTTAAGCAGCAACTCCTAAAGCAGCTGCACCTGAATGCCTGAAACAAGTCAGGCTGCTTGACTTAATAGCAGAAGGAGGTGCCCTCATGCAAGGTTCAAAGCACACCTTCCAGATCACTTTTTGAAGCGTACACAGCCCTACACTTTAGGGCAATGTTGTCCAAACTTGGCCACTTTAAGATGAGTGGACTTCAACTCCCAGAATT